AAAAAAAAAAAAAAAAAAAAAAAAAAAAAAAAAAAAAAAAAAAAAAAAAAAAAAAAAAAAAAAAAACTCGATTTCGTCGTTTGGGCTTGGGCTGGATAATATTGGACCGAGACTACAAATCCAGTTCAGAGAACTTTCCTTCAGGTTCCGGGGTTCTCTCGTCAAAGATTTGTCATCAATGCTGTTTGGCGCCAATCTACCCGCCGTAAGAACTGCGATCCGTTTCTTGTTTATGGCTCTCTCCCATCAGTTTCTTATTTTTATACTTTCTAATGCTACTTTTTCGTGTTTCATTTCTGATCGTGAATGAATATTTGTTTTCTTGGTTCCCTGTAATTTCATTTTAACTCTTTATCTCCCATTGAAATCGATCCAGCGTGGTTTGAGCCATTTGAGTTGTAGAGTTCGATTTTGGATGCAAATATTTCTGTCTGGTACTTTTTGCATTTTCGATGAGGTTTTCAACTTGCTGGTATCCGACAACATATTTTCCGATGATACATTTCTCGATTAGATATTAGTTTGTTGAATCTATATCTGTGATGTTGAATTATTTAGTCGGTGTTCGTAGAAGCTGTGGATTCTTCATTATCTTTCTGCTAGAAGTCGCCAATCGATTTGATTGTTTTTGCCTGTAATGTCTTGCATGTGGCCAAGTTGCTCGATGTTTATAATTTACTGGCGATCGTTGGAGACGTGGACGACAAAGCTTCACCATGATGTGAAGCTCTTCGACTGCTGGAGGTTTGATGCTTATCGTTGTGTTCAAATTTGTCATATATTCTAATTGCAATTGTGAGCCGAATGAAAATGTTGATTTAGGTTTTCGTAAAACTCTGCTATCTCACATGCACATACATTTTCTAACCAACTGACAGTGTTTTGATTTAGCTAATGTCTTTTTAACCATGGCTATTTGTTTCGCTCAGGGTTTGAGGAAAATTATCATGATTATTTATATATTTTTCACTGAAATTGAGTTTCATTTTCCCTCAAGAAGCTTATGTGCTGCATGGTTTTTCCGTTTTGATTGAATTTCTGTTCTGCCATTCTCTCTGAATTATGGCATCCTTAGTTTAAGTGACTGGCTTCTGATCAATTTTTCGGGATCAGCAAGGACTTGAAATACTGAAATTAGTAGACTAAAATTCAATTCATGATAATCCAACAGGTAAAGCAGCTCCATCTATTGTAGTTCATCATCAATTGGAGCTTGAAGAATTCTAATTGTGCTTTAGCAGTCATGATATTAAGAAAAAATGATTAGATGGGATGGAAGAAAGTGACGTTGTTTGAGGATTCCTACAAAGAAAAATGGTGGTGCTTGTCATAAGTAGTGTATGTTAAATCTCTCCATAACCCCTTCAATTAGATTAAAGATTTGGGTAAGATAGCTTTCCCGCGTTAGAGTGGTTATCTTTGATGATTCCTCTTTATTTAAAAGAGTGAAAAGGCGAAACCTTAGAAACTGTAATTTGATGGCTAAAGGTGTGTTGTGTGGTGTCTTGACATTATTCACAGATTTAGTAGTCGACATACTAGGATAAGACATATTAAGGCACTATGATGTACCACTGTGTGGTGTCTTGACATTGTTCATAGTTTTAGTAGTCCACATATTAGGATAAGACATGTTAAGGCACTGTGATGTGCCACTAAACATATTTTTCTTATTTGAGCTACTTCTAGACGCGAAACTGCGCACCCTATTGCTAGCAAATTTTGTCTTCTTGAGACTTTTCTTTTAGGCTTCTCTTCAGCTTTTTAAAATATTTCTGTTAGAGAGAGGTTTCTACACTCTTATAAGGATTGTCTTGTTCTCCTCTCCAATCAACGTGGGATCTCACAATCCACCCTCTTGAGGGCCAGCGTCTGATGTTGGGCTTTGATGCCATTTTGTAACAGCCCAAGTTCTCCAATGTAGAAACTCACAATCCACTCCTTGGGGCCAGCGTCCGATGTCTGACTCTAATACCATTTTGTAACAGCCTAAGTCCATTGCTAATGTGTGATTCGATAGAAAGTGTAAGCACATGTCCACCGAAAGTATTTTTTTAACAACTGTCGTATGCGTACCATATTGTAATTGTTGATGAATAGTTGACTAATGTTTAATAGGATCATACCAATGCTTTAGTGCATTGTAGATTCCCTGAGGTTACACCGTCCTTAAGTAGTGGCTAAAAAGGCTCCCCTTTGGTGAATTGTAGATTCCCTGAGGTTACACCGTCCTTAAGTAGTGGCTAAAAAGGCTCCCCTTGCTAGCTTAAATAGTTGCTTGGTCTTACTCGGGTGGGCGATGAGGCACATGGTCTCAATTTTGTAAGCACACTCCAAATTGTTAGTACTTAGATGGTGGGCTATTCAAGAAGTGTTCTCTTTGTTGAAAGCCAATTGAAGTGATTCGAAAAGGTGTCTAGTTGAATGGTGCTTAGCCGGCAGCCTATGATATGATGGCATCTACGTAGATTAATTATTATTTTGAAGTTATATTCACTCATCACACTTTCTGGGGTGTTTCCGTCGTTTTCTTTTCCTTTCATATGCTCTCTTATATTTAGTCTCTGTTGAATTGGTTGCTGGCTGCTTTCAACATGCTTGTTATTGCCCTTTTGTGTCAGCCTTCGGTAGTGGGATTTCGAGTTTTAACGAATCGCTCTTTTTCAATTTTATTTTATTCATAGTGTTTAGTTGTAGTTTATAGCTCTGCTTTCGTGGTGATTAAGACACAGAGTGAGCTGATTGGTCATTATTGTAGTTTTCCTGTTGGCCATTTCTTGGATCCAGCACTTCCTCTTTTACGTGGCGTTGAAAACTTTTTTCATAATTCCACCCATAAATTAAGTTGGGTGGAATAATAATCTTTAGGTTAAATTAACATTTTTAATTTTTTTTTTCTATTTTAGTCTCTAGCTTTTAAATATTCAATTTTAATCCACCTATTTTCAATTTCAATATATCTTTTAACTAGTTTAGTTTATTGGTACTAGACCAAATAATACTTTGTTCATTTAATTTTTTAACAGAAAAGTTAAAAGAATTTTGTTGGTAGCAGAAGTTAAACCATAATTAATGATAAGAATTTATCTATTATAGAAGACTAAAATGATATTTTAATTTTTTTTTATGCAAAGAATTATAAATTGTGAATTTTAAGGTTTATATCTATTTAATATTAGTTATTGAATAAATATAGGGATCTTATTAAAATATTTTTTTAATAGAGAAATTAAAATGACACAAATTGATACCAATGATTTATAAATGTAGAAATGTAGAGATTAAACTTGAAACATAACTATTTATTTATTATTTTTTTATTGATAAATACAAAGTAAAAATAATGCAAGGAATTCTAAGTCTAAAGAGAGTTCTTTAGAAACCCTAGAATTTGGG